TAAATATCGCCGAAGTCGCTAACTTCGCGAGAGCGTAATTCCGTCAGTTTTCCATCAAATTTCGTTTTTTTGGTGTCTTTACAATCGGGAAAAGATTCTCTATCATTTCATAAGAAAAAATAATTTTTTTTTTTTTTCGAATATTTTGCGACACCAGAAGCAACTTCAGGATTTGGCCCTTCGACAGTCAAAGGGTTAAAGAGTTAAACACTCACTAAACATCTCACAAAATCTCTCACCCTCTCTCTAAACTCCTCTCTTTCCTAGGTGCATGAACACTTAAACCCACTTTTTGTGTCATCCTTATTTTAACCCTTTGACTGTTTCAGGCCCCTCTCTGAAACTGTCATTCTATGTCGCTCAATTTTTTAAAAAAAAAAAAATTATTTTTTCTTATGAAATGATAGAGAATCTTTTCCCGATGGTAATGACACCAAAAGTTCGAAATTTGGTCGAAAACTCGTGGAATTATGGTCCCGAAGTTAGCGGTCTCGGCGACATATGCGTATCGGCGATTTCGCCGACTTTGAGCCCAATTTTCAGCCAATTCCATTGTTCCAGTTGACCAAACTCATAGCTATTTCTTTAGAACTCCATTTTATCTATCAGCTGAGTACAAGAAACCTCCCATTTACTAATTTGGACTACCCAATATGGTGGTCAGAAATTGGCAATTTGGCCAATTTCACGCAAAATAAAAAAGATGCCAATTTCAAAATAGGGTCCAGAATAAACAAGGTAGACATTCGTGGCACTAAAATAACATATGCTCTGTTCATTAGTCACATCTCTAGGCCCCTCTTATATTATTATTGCTTTCTATTTTGATTTTTTATTCATACAAAAAAATACAAAATTTACTGTTATGCAGACGACTGCATTATTGTAAAAATGGTATAAATAATATCAGTGCACTAGTGAAAGAATATTAGACTCCCTAGTTGACGTGTATTGGACGTGTGGTGTGATTTATTTACTCTTCAACATTGGTAAAAATCGAACATTTTCGCTACTTGAGCTTAGTTTCAAGGTCGTTTTCATCGTAAAAGTAATGAAAATCATCTCTATTTCTGTAATATGTTTTCCATTTTATACCTAAGACCATGAAAACGCGAATACAATGATAAATACTATACGAAAATACACCTCAAAGTCGGCGTTTTATTCCAAAAAAACGATCAGAGTTTTTTTTTTCTCATTACGCAATGTGTGCTGCAGGATTTTTTTTATGTGGTGCACACTGACCACACAGACCCATTCTCTCACATGTGGGCCTACCAGCTTTCTCCCACTTGATTTGAAGCCGCTAGAATTATTGAGTATATATACGTCAGAAACATTGGCTCGTAAGACGTATTTATACGTCGAAAACAGTCAAAGGGTTAATCCACATAATCCTTGAATTTGTAAATTTATATTCCCTCTTTCCCTTCAGTAACTGATAATTGAATATTACAGCTACTCCTTCCTTATCTCTAATTCTCTTGGATACACCTGGCTTAATCCCATTTATTTCTCCCTGCTGAAAATGTTCTACCCCCTTCAGTTTTGTTTTTCTTAGAGCTAGGACATCCGGCTTCTTTTCATTTATAACATTCACAATCAACTCTGTCTGTACTACATCCATGCACACTCAAATATCCCAACTTTAAAATGTTCTTTTTAAATTTAGTAATTAATACAGGAAGAGGTTACTAGCCCCTTGCTAACAGCATTATAGTCATCTATTACAACACTTATGGCTGAAAGAAGGATTCTTTTCCATTTCTCCTTGGAGATGAAAGGAAATAATGTAAGAGCAAGAACTATTAAGAAAACAAGAAAACTCAGATGGATGTGTATTGTGTATACACATACATATACAATGCATATATAGTATGAACTAAGTGTAAATAGTATCAGCATGATGTACCTGTCATCTTGCATGTTTATGAGATAGAAAAAAAAGCACCAGCAATCCTACCATTGTGCAAAACAATTACAGTGGACTCTCGCCTAAAGATATTAATCCGTTCCTGAGAGCTCATCGTCAGCCGAATTAATTTTCCCCATAAGAAATAATGGAAATCCAATTCGTTCATGAAATATACATTTCCCTACAAAGAAAACAATGAGACATGCACAATAACTACATAAATAAATGTTAAAATGACACTTACCTTTATCGAAGAGCATTGATGAGTGATGAGACACTGTTTTTCTTGAACACTCTGGGATTTTCAGAGTGATACATGAGTAAAGGCTTCACTTTGCAATTCCCACTAGCATTACAACAAAACATGAGAGTTAGCCTGTCTTTCACAGGCTTGTGTCCAGGGAGTGCCTTTTCCTCCTGAGTAATGTATGTCCCGTTTGGCATTTTCTTCCAGAACAGGCCTGTTTCGTCACAATTAAACACTTGTTGGGGGTTGGAATTTTTCAGCTTCACCATGCCTTATCACATTGTATATACCACTACAATTCTTAAATCTCTCAAACCAACCTTTGCTGGCCATAAATTCACCTGTATGAGCACTAGTTCCAGGCATTTTTTCCTGTTCACCTGGGTGTTAGTCAACTGTTGTGGGTCGCATCCTGGGGGACAAGACTAAGGACCCCAATGGAAATAAGTTAGACAGTCCTCGATGATGCACTGGCTTTCTTGGGTTATCCTGGGTGGCTAACCATCTGGGGTTAATTGTGTCTTGGTAATTGTTTCCTGTTAAGCCACACCAACAACACACTCTCCACATCTTTGAGTAGTACAGCTGATGGTGGTGGAGCAACAACTGGTGGTGCAGCAGCAGCAACAGCTGACTGTGGTGCAGCAACAGCTGACTGTGGTGCAGCAGCAGCTGACTGTGATGCAGCAGCAGCTGACTGTGGTGCAGCAACAGCTGACCGTGGTACAGCAACAGCTGACTGTGGTGCAGCAACAGCTGACTGTGGTGCAGCAACAGCCGACTGTGGTGCAGCAACAGCTGAAGGTAGTGCAGCAGCAGCTGACTGTGGTACGATAGTAAGTATTTCTCACCCTTTTTACCACAGGGTTGGCACTAGAAGCTTTCTTTGGGCCCATGTGGCTTATTTAGCAGTTACAAGTACTATAAACAATGGAATATAATACAAAATGTATCGAATGTATGCATGCAACCGGCCACCCTGGCTTGTAAACAATGGCAGCTGAGGCGCTCAGGCTGGACGGACAGGTTTGGGAGGAATCACGTTGGGCGAGTTTATCGTGAGGCAAGGCAAAATTTTTGCGGTCAAATGCTTCGTATGGCGGAATTAACGTTATGCGATGTGTTCGTTAGCCGGGGGTCCACTGTACATGTTTCTGTTACACACTCATCTGGCAGGACATTATTATTATAATCAAGGGGGAAGCGCTAAACCCGTAGGATTATACAGCGCCTGTGGGGGGGAGGATGTGGAAGGTATTCAGGCGTAATTCGGGGAACTGGAGCACAGATTCAATTACCTAGATCAAGAGCCCCTCACCAACATCAAGGAACCTTCCTTGAGGGGATCTGGCAGGACAGTACTACAGTGGACCCCCGCATAACGATCACCTCCGAATGCAACCAATTATGTAAGTGTATTTATGTAAGTGCGTTTGTACGTGTATGTTTGGGGGTCTGAAATGGACTAATCTACTTCACAATATTCCTTATGGGAACAAATTCGGTCAGTACTGGCACCTGAACATACTCCTGGAGTGAAAAAATATCGTTAACCGGGGGTCCACTGTACTTCCCTGGTACTACCAGTGAAGTACTGACTCAGCACTTAACCATAAAGGATTTTTGGTGATAAACTAGACACACATAATTTACAAACTCACAATCATTACTTTATTTCATAAAACAAAGATATATTCCAGGTCAGCCATCAGTAATCCGGCACTAATTTTGATTAGCATAATTTCAAATTTCCGGGGTCGCCACACCAACCAGCTGCTACTGTTTGGTGGCGCTGCTTGCTGCATAAGTCATTCCAATTTCTTTTTCTCCATTTGTTATAACCTGCTCACTTTTAGCCATAGCCATGGTTCAAACTAATAAAAGAAGTGCTTCTCGTTGTGAAAAGCACACATTATCCATAAAATATAAGGTGCTTTTGAAGCCACTGTCAGTCACCAGGAGCTCAGCTCATTCAGATAAGCTGTGACAGGTAAATTTAGGCCTACATAAGAAAAAACAGGTCTGTGTGGCAAGTGTGCACTATGCCAAAAATAATCCTGCAGCACACAGTGCATGAGAAAAAACAACAACCGTGTTTTTGGTGTATCTTCATATGGTTTTTATGATTGTATTCTCGTTTTTTTGTGTCATTTGATAGAATCAAAGATATATTACAGAAATAGATATGATTTTCATTGGTTTCATGAAGGAAAATACCTTGAAATTGAACTCAAAGTAGCAGAAATGTTAGATTTTTGCCAATGTTCAAGAGTAAACAAATGACATCACTGTCCAATACGTGTCCAACTGGCCAGTCTAATATGCAGTCACGAATGGGTTGACATTATTTATACAGTTATTACAATAATACAGTAGTCTGCATAATAGTAAATCTACTATTTTTTGTGTGAATAAAAATTCAAAATGGAAAGCAAACATAATATATGAGGGGTCTGGAGACATGACTAATGAACAGAAATTTTTTTTATTTTAGTGGCTGGAATGTCTGCATTATTTATTCTGGATCCTATTTTGAAATTGACATCTCTTGAAATTTGTGTGAAATTGGCCAAATTACCAATTTCTGACCACATTATTGGGTAGTTGAAATAAGTAAATGGGCAGTTTCTTGCACTCAATCAACAGAATAGAAAGAATACTAGTGAAATAGCTATAAGTTTGGTAGACTGGAACAATGGAATGAGCCAAAAATAGGCCGTAAAGTGGGTGAAATCACCAATGCATAAATGTCGCTGTTGGGTTAAGTGTATTCTATCCAAACCACTCTCTAAGCTAGCACCCTACAGGTCCCAATGATGCCAGAAATAAAACAAACTGTTACTCAGGTTATATATATTAAACAAAACTTAACATACACATTGTACCATTTAAGCATGAAATCTTACATAAATAAAGCATATTTAAATGACAACTAAATTCTCATACTGAAATGACAAATAAATTCTCACATTGAGTGGTGCATTATTTATCAATTTCAGAAAAAAATTATTACATCTGACAAGAGAAAAGTGTTAAGCACATTTTAAGAACAACATTTATTGTGAATTCCGTGAATGAATCTATCTGAAGGAAACGTGTCCAAGAAAAGTAGAGCAATAATAATAACAACCTTGCAAGGCAAAATTTCACAATATTTGTTAAAATAAAAAACAGCACACTATACAAATAACCCGCACATAGGAGGGAGGAGCTTATGACGATGTTTCGGTCTGAAACGTCGTCGCAAGCTCCTCTCTCCTATGTGCTGGTTATTTGTGTACTGTTCCAGTCACGGTATTGTGCCTTCTTGTTATTTAAGAAACAGCAATTACATTTTTAAAGTTTATCTCAACATTTCTGGAAAGAAACTGAAGAGTATTATAGTACAAGACAAAATGAAAAATTAAATGTTTATGATAAATCATAATGAAGAGAGGTTAAACAAAATGGTTTGTAGGTAAAATACACAATTTTAAACAGGTTTATGTAACAATATTTTATGCAATGCTAAAGGAAAATAAGAAACACTCCTGAAGTATGTACTCTATAATCTTACAACCATTCTTGAAATAAATTCCATTATTTTAAAATTATTACTGAAGTAGTCCCTAGTTTTACAGTAATTCTTAAAATAGTCTATTCTATCAATCATTCATGAAGTAGTCTTCAGTCTTGCAATCATTTATGAAGTGATCACCATTGTCAAGCAATAATTTTTGAAGCAGTATTTAGTCTTTAAAATTTGAATTTTTGAAGCATTCAATGTTACAATCATTCCTGGAAGTAGTCTCCATTGTTTTACAATCATTCCTGGAAGTAGTCTCCATTGTTTTACAATCAGTCCTGGAAGTAGTCTCTATTAACTTTTAAAATCATTCCTGTAGTAGTCTCCCTATGATCTTACAATAGGTAATGATGATTACTATACAAGCACTCATCAATATCTATTATGATATAGATATAATAATAAAAAAGTTTCTTCTCTTAAATGTCTCTTCATACATACCCTAGTTTGTGAAAAATGGTTTTGGGACAGAAATTCTCACAAAACAGAAGCATTATTGACAATAAACCCTGAATATTCAATTACGAATATTTTATGTACAACTTATATTTTTGTGTAAAATGATCTGCGGGTGAATTTCAAGGAAAGCTTCTTCATAAGCTACTTTGATGAATGCACTGCATACAGTTCGTAAGTCTGAAAAGTTATATACTGTCAAAAATACAAAGAATGTACTGCATAGATTTTTTGCTTCAGTATTCAGACATTAAATATTTGGCCCTTTTGGTATAGTTGCATTTGTACTGAATGGCAATCCCTTTCAAGCACTGAATAATCAACATGAAACTTTGGTAAAGACAATTACAAATAAATATTTCCTTCTTTGAGTCACCCTACTTTGGTGGAAAACAGCCAATGCATTAAAAACATCCTATTAAATTATATTTACAAATAAAATCTGTAAAAGTTACTTATTTTCCTCTACTGAAACATTATGAATGTAACGTGCCATCAGGCATTAAATATTCCAAGTGTATATAACCAACTCACAGAAAATAATAGTTACTGTTATTGTAATTCACACAACCTGACTCTTGTGATGATTATGAAAGTACGTATCTGCTAATAATGATACAGCTCTTTTATACTGTATGGCATAATGAACTTGAGTTTAGCTGTGGCTAATATACCAGAAATCTTAGCACTTATCAATCACTTCATAAAAATTTAACAAAAATTTTAATATTAACCATTTCATATAATAGTCCCCAAAATAAAATATGTGTGCACTTTCTAGTTACTTAAACAATTATTCACTATACCCAGTCAAATGGGAATTTCCATGTATCATGCTTAAACAAATGAAGACTTTAAAAAATAAGGTAAATAAGGTACTGTACTGTAACTGTTAGAACAAAACAATATAAACTATTGAACATGCTGTGTTTAGATTAATCACATATATAGGGAATACACACGAAAGGCAAGGAAAGTGGTAATAATGCAGCATGTGAGATGATGACAATATGTGGTCATACTGTTGTGATACTATGCAATTTGCCAAGCATGTATAGAACAAATCTAGTAAATAATTTGTGAAAGCCAGTGCCTTATTATGTATGTATTGTATTTATCCCATATATGAGGCAACAGCTCAACGGTGGTAAAATTATTTTTCAAACACAGTATTATTCACATAAACCCGTAAATGGACCAAACGTATATGTTAGTACCGCTAGCACTCCAAACGTAGATCAACGTTTTATTTTTCCTGCCTCCAAATTTGGCACAATTGGCCTGAGATCAGCCTTGTCAGCATAGAATGGGTCTTAGCACTCGGTGTGTGCAGTATGAAAAAAGTCTGGGACCACTTAGTACCTTGTGGGAGCACCAGTTCAATTGAGTGCTAGCTAGGGCATATAGTGTGGCAAACACCAAGGATTCACTGATGTCATGTCGTATTAACACTCCCTTTTTAAGAGGAAAATGATGCTGACCCTGAGTTTAGTGGCTTTGAGGTGGATGTGGCCACAAGGGGTCAAGGAAATGTCAAAAACTTCGATAATAACCCACGTGCAACATTTGTGCAACAACTTTTCAATTTTGGTACCACTGGTAGTGTGTCATCCTGCCAGAATGTCCTATAACCTATGCCCTAAGTAAAAAGAAACAATTCTGGAATGTGTAATACATGTTCAGCAGGCTGGCTGGCCTGCTGGCTGGCCAGCGGTTGGCTGGCCGGCAGTTGGCTGGCCAACTAGCTGGTTGGCCAGCTGGCTGGCTGATTGACTGTCTCTATCTCTGTCTGTATCTCTCTCTCTCTCTCTCTCTCTATCTCACAGGTATTCATATGTAAATACAATTATACATTGTGTAAATTACCTAGGATAACCCCAAAAAAACAGACAAAGTGCTATACTGTGCTTGTAGATATAATGCATAAATAAGCATGACTGGCAACTGGCAAGTAATACGCATTTTCACTTGTTCAGGAATCAGACATGATCATGTGTAATACCAGTTGATTCTTGAGCAACTCTCTGAGACAAGAGAGACAAGCAGACAGAATGACAGACACATACAGGTAGACAGAAAGACACAGGCAGACACACACACATAGGCAGACAGAAAGACAGACAGACACACACACACAGGCAGACAAAAAGACAGACACACACATGGGCAAACAGACACACCAAGGTAGGCAGAAAGACAGATAAACAGACTTAGCTAGACAGACAGACATGTTTTTGTGTAATAATGAAAACAAATGAAGCTAGGGTTCCATGCACACAGCAGCGCACGATCATCAAGTGTCACTCCACTGCTTACCCTGTCAGCAGTTTAGTGACACTTGTCATAAACAGCATGCTTCAAGTAGTTTCATATATACTCCAGCATGTCTAAAACATTGCTGGGACCTATAAATGCTTTGTATATATTTCTAGACAATAGTAAATGACCAAGGCAGGTGTAAATGTTCACCTGACAATATGTTTGTGACTATCTGAGTATAATTTCAGTACCTAATATTAGCGTCAGAACAAAGACTGGCTATGAAATCACAAGAACTACTATAAATTGCAATTATCAGATCATAAAAATTATATAAAATATAAAAATGAGAAAAAAGGTATATCTGCAACACTTCTGGAAGTGGCAGGGCTCAATGTTGCCATCAGGTGAGCATCCAGTGCCAACTTCTTGGTCTCATATCTCGGTAAGTACTGGTTCTAAGTATTTTTTGTCTTATTACACACAGAAAATTCTTTCTTTCAACAAACCAGCCACATCCCACCGAAGCAGGGTAGCCCAAAAAGAAAAATGAAAGCTTCTCTTTTTCAACTTTAGTAATGTATACAGGAGAAGGGGTTACTAGCCCCGTGCTCCAGGCATTTTAGTCGCCACTTACAACACGCATGGCTTACGGAGGAAGAATTCTGTTCCACTTCCCCATGGAAAACACAGAAAATTGTCCTCTTTAATTAAAAAAAAATTAAAAATATTCGGAGCACTGGGCGAGTGAACATAGATCTACATTTGGACCGTTTACAGGTTAAAATTTCAAGATTGTTTCTGTAGACTAATATCTTGCAAATAAAAATGACAGTTTCTCTCTTTATTAAATACCATTTAAAACCTCTATTATTATTATTACTAGATAGTTTCCACTTCCTACTGCAGTTATCACGAGGGAAGGTTATAAAAATTTTTTAGGTCACATTCGCTCAACATTGTGATCTGCTTAATTTTCTCCAGTTTCTATGACTTCCATAAATAGTCTATTTTTTTCCCAAAAACCTGACTAATATTTATTCCTACCTTTTTTATACTTCCTCCCTTTTATTGTGTCGCTTACAACATTCTTTGTTTGTTACAAGTCAATTTTTCTTTTTTTGATGAACAAACCAACATATGTAATTGTTGACAAATATTACATGTGCTCCCTTAAGTATCCTTAAATGCAATGACATGTCGGACAATAACTGGAATAAAACAATGGTATTTAATACTCACACGGCTGTTAAATAAATAAATAAATAAATATATATATATATATATATATATATATATATATATATAATATTATATATATATATATATAATATAAATAATATATATATATATATACATTATATATATATATATATTATATAATATATATAATATTATATATATATATATAAAATATATATATATATATATATATTATATATATATATATAATATATATATATATATATATATTATATATATTATAATATATATATATTTTATATATACAGTGGACCCCCGCATAACGGACGCCTTGCATAACGGACAATCCGCATAGCGGACGCTTTGATCGCTAAAATTTTGCCCCGCATAATGGACAAAAACCCGCTCAGCGGCCTTCGTCCGAGACGCGTCCAATGTGCGCCCTCAGCCAGCCTCACATGTGCCGCCTGTGCCATTGTTTACCAGCCAGCCTCCGCGGTAACATTCAAGCATACAATCGGAATATTTCGTATTATTACAGTGTTTTTCGTGCTGTTTCTGGAAAATAAGTGACCATGGGTCCCAAGAAAGCTTCTAGTTCCAACCCTACAGCAATAAGGGTTAGAATTCCTATTGAAATGAAGAAAGAGATCATTGATAAGTATGAAAGTGGAGTGCGTATCACCGACCTGGTCAGGTTGTACAAGAAACCCAAATCAACCATCTCTTCTATTGTGGGCAAGAAAACGGCAATCAAGGAAGCTGTTCTTGCCAAAGGTTTTAACTGTGTTTTCGAAACAAGATCGCAAGTGATGGAAGATGTTGAGAGACTCTTATTGGTGTGGATAAATGAAAAACAGCTAGCAGGAGATAGCGTCTCTCAAGCGATCATATGTGAAAAGGCTAGGAAGTTGCATGAGGATTTAATTAAAAAAAGGCCTGCAACTAGTGATGATGTGAGTGAATTTAAGGCCAGCAAAGGTTGGTTTGAGAGATTTAAGAAGCGTAGTGGCATACATAGTGTGATACGGCATGGTGAGGCTGCCAGTTCGGACCACAAAGCGGCTGAAAAATATGTGCATGAATTCAAGGAGTACATAGAAACTGAAGGACTGAAACCTGAACAAGTGTTTAATTGTGATGAAACAGGCCTGTTCTGGAAGAAAATGCCAAGAAGGACTACATTACTCAGGAGGAAAAGGCACTCCCAGGACATAAGCCTATGAAAGACAGGCTTACTTTGTTGATGTGTGCCAATGCTAGTGGTGATTGCAAAGTTAAGCCTTTATTAGTGTATCACTCTGAAACTCCCAGAGCGTTCAGGCAAAAGAATGTCCTCAAGGATAATTTGTGTGTGCTGTGGAGGGCAAACAGTAAGGCATGGGTCACTAGGGAATTTTTCTATAACTGGTTACAACCATGCATTTGCCCCCAATGTGAAAGATTACCTAACTGAAAAGAAATTAGACCTTAAGTGCCTCCTGGTGTTAGACAATGCCCCTGGTCATCCTACAGACGTGGCAGAGCGACTTTATGGGGACATGAGCTTCATTAAGGTCAAGTTTTTGCCTCCTAATACCACTCCTCTCCTGCAGCCCATGGACCAGCAGGTCATTTCCAACTTCAAGAAACTGTACACAAAAGCTCTGTTTCAAAAGTGCTTTGAAGTGACCACAGACACTCGATTGACTCTAAAAGAGTTTTGGAAGGATCACTTT